GTTTATCCTGACTTTAAAAATTGATTTACAACCATTTTTAAGAACTTGTTTTCCAAAAGGTAAAATTCTTATTTTTAGAACAATCTTAAGAAAAGATAAGAACATTATCCTTGGCATACGTTGAAAACGTTGGCAATACAAAATATTTGTAAATTAGAAAATAATACGAAAACAAAGTTAAGAAGAATTTTATGCGTTATGCTGCAAATTCTGAGTATTCTGCTAAGTGACAGTGAACAGCAGAGGAAGAACCTGGAACTGCGTCTCATTTTTGTATTCATTTATTGGTGTTATCTGATATACATAATAGCAAACACAAAAACCTAAAAGGCTGTTTGAAAACGTATATATAATGTTCGACTTCCTTTCTTCTCCATGACAAGCAAGTGTCGAAAAGTTACATAGCTCTTTGTGAATCTGCAATTTCATTCAGCTATCTGTCGTTTTTTACTAAACGGACTGAAAAGACAAATCACATGCGAAAATCAAGACTTGCTGTAGTATTTGTGATATATGGCAATGTAATCACATAGAACACCAGAACATCACAGGGAGCTGTAAATGTTCAGCGGCTAACAAACACGGTCATATGCACCCACTCCCTTCATTTTTAGTCATAATGTAAATGATGTAAAAAAAATCAGCTGGCTTGAGTCTAGTGTATTTAAGTTTGACATGGCATCATTCTGTGACGATATTTGCCTCTTTTTTTGAAGCTTGCAAGCGGGACATTATTTTTTTAATCTCTCCTTTTGTGGTGTGAAAAAGAAAGGTCATACGGCATTAGCACAACACCGGGTGAGTAAACAATGACTGGATTCTCATTTGTGTGTGAAAAATCCCTTCAAGAGAGCCCAATCTGCTCCTGAGCAATATGAAGAATGTCAACAAGAGTGAGAACATGAAGGAACAAAAGGCTCAAGTATCAGCTGAAGATGAATTTTCTTCATTTATTGATCTTGTAATATATCCTAAGTTTCCCTGCGCAGGGCTTCAGCATGGCCCACTTCAAACTCGCAGCAGCTGATGAATCAATAATCACGACACATTATACGCAATGTGAAAGGTGTCAGCAGGAGCGGGATTCTCCATTCAAGCTAAGCCCTTTGGAAAAGCATAATCCCAGAGCCGGATAGAGATCCATAGATGAGCTCTGAACATTCACCTGCATACAAGGACTATAGAAGGCAAGGGTGTGGGACAGCGCAGGGCACGGGGGTGGACTGCAGTGCCCCATGCCAAGCGCTGGTGGTCATTTGACCAAAACCCATCCAATTAGAGCTGAGTGATGGTGTAGCCTGCTGGAGGCCCCTCCATCTCTGCGGCAGGGCCAGAGAGAGACACCTGCTTTTATCAGCCAGTGCAGGGACCACGAGGACTCGCGATATTTGCCTCTTTTTTTGAAGCTTGCAAGCGGGACATTATTTTTTTAATCTCTCCTTTTGTGGTGTGAAAAAGAAAGGTCATACGGCATTAGCACAACACCGGGTGAGTAAACAATGACTGGATTCTCATTTGTGTGTGAAAAATCCCTTCAAGAGAGCCCAATCTGCTCCTGAGCAATATGAAGAATGTCAACAAGAGTGAGAACATGAAGGAACAAAAGGCTCAAGTATCAGCTGAAGATGAATTTTCTTCATTTATTGATCTTGTAATATATCCTAAGTTTCCCTGCGCAGGGCTTCAGCATGGCCCACTTCAAACTCGCAGCAGCTGATGAATCAATAATCACGACACATTATACGCAATGTGAAAGGTGTCAGCAGGAGCGGGATTCTCCATTCAAGCTAAGCCCTTTGGAAAAGCATAATCCCAGAGCCGGATAGAGATCCATAGATGAGCTCTGAACATTCACCTGCATACAAGGACTATAGAAGGCAAGGGTGTGGGACAGCGCAGGGCACGGGGGTGGACTGCAGTGCCCCATGCCAAGCGCTGGTGGTCATTTGACCAAAACCCATCCAATTAGAGCTGAGTGATGGTGTAGCCTGCTGGAGGCCCCTCCATCTCTGCGGCAGGGCCAGAGAGAGACACCTGCTTTTATCAGCCTGTGCAGGGACCACGAGGACTCGCTTTGAAGAAATATTCAACTAATTACGCTGGAGCACCAAGCACAACAAGCGGGAAGATTGCAGGGACCCCGACCATTGTGAAGCAGAAAACTCAAGAGGAGATTTCATCTCCGCACAAAAACAGACATCTCTCATACTGCGAGGCAAGGTCATTGTTCTGAGCGACAGACTGTGAGAGAGAGAAGAAAGAGTACTAGATTCACACTGCAGTGTTTTCCCCCCCTGATGTGTGATGCAGATCTGTTTTTGGATGAGAGTGTAAACGGTTCGAGCCACACTCAAACTGACCATTCCATTCTGGGCCGCTTTCACATTAGGGTTGTGACGGTGAGGAAATTTTCCCACCGATTAATCGGCGAGTGACAACACCGGTAATACCGGTATCACCGCGGGGGCGGGCGTTCCCTCTTTTCCTCGCTTTCCTTCGCTTTTAAATAGCTTAAAAGCACCGTGCGCATTTTACTTTCACTTTTGAATTAGCAGCAGTTCGGCGTCAATTGCTTTAATGCAACAACTAAATACAATGTCAAACTCACTTTATATATAAAACATAGAACTTTTATTAACAAAACAAATAAAAATACACCATGCTATAGGGCAGGCTATGCCTAATATAAAATAACAAATAACTTACATAAAGTTTAATAGGTATACAAAACTGGAAATAAATCGTTCGGCATGCTGCATTGAGTAGCCTCGTTCAGTTTTTAATGGTAGTGTCTGTTCTTTTACTCAACTAAATGATTTTTATTACTATAAAAAATCAAAAGGACGGTGGGGGTCGGTGACGCGGTGAGCAAGTGACGTAACCGGTGTTGCGGTATCACCGTCAACACCGTCTATCGCGGCAAGCCTATGTGGAAATAAACTGGATATGCATCAGATTTATTGCTGGATATGCATCAGATTTAATGTGACTTCAGTGTGAACAGCCAGGATGAAACCGAAGGGATTTTCTGTCATGCTTTGAGAGGCTGACATAGTCCAAGGTTGCTTAAGACATCATTTAGTTATTTAAAACAATAGTGTTGAGGTCAGAGAACGAGTGAGCGAGAGAAACACACACACTTTTCTGTCGAGCAGATGTTCTTGTGACGGACAGATAAGAGACAGTGGTGTAGAAGCAGCACCCAAAAGCAGATCAATTATTCATAGAGACAGATCAAGTCATTGCAGGAAGCTGTGAAAGCAGAATATCCTTAATGGCCTTTCACACCCTATTCACCAGAGACAATTAACAGTCACACACCCACCCACTCACAATAATGATCACACTGACGCAATATCACTGCAGACAAAAAAGAAAGAGCAGAATTAAAAATCAGACATGATGTGCAATATCTACTTATGATCTGCTCCGCATATCACTATAGGTGTTAAATAAACTTAATACACAGTGCTATAGGAATACCTGACTGTCAAAATAAATCGCTAATCTGTACAATTAATGTCATCAGGCAACCGTTTTTCACACTACCATTCTTTGTTTTGGTGTTAGTATGACTTTGTTTTTGTTTTTTTTAAGAAAAAAAAAGTAAAACTTTTATTTAACAAAGATGGCTAAAATTGACCAAAAGTGTCAATGAATACATTTAGAATTATATTTTGTAATTACTATTCTATTTCAAATAAATGCTGTTCTTTTGAACTTTCTATTTAGCAAATCTATTTTTCTATTTATCCTGGAAAGAAAGAAAGAAAAAGTATCACAAACATATTCAGCAGCCCAACTGTTTTCAAATTGATAAAAAGTATAAATGTTTCTTGAGCAGCACATCAGCATATTAGAATGATTTCTGAAGGATCATGTGACACTGAAGACTGGAGTAATGATGCTGAAAATACAGCTGCGCATCACAGGAATAAATTACTTTTTAAAATATATTCACATAGAACAATCTTATTATAAATAATACTTAACAATATAATCGTTTTTACTGTATTTCTGATCAAATACATGTAGTCTTGGTGCACAGAAGAGACTTCTTTCAAAGAAATAAAAAATAAATAAAATATCACTTGGCACTTTCTTCTGTGAGCATATTGTGAGCATGTTGTTATTTATTTGGAAATCAGTCAGCTTATCATTATTGTAAAGAAATGACCTTTTATGTCAGCGTTCCTTTTAGGTCTCATTTTGTGAACTTTATGACTTTACCAAATTAATTACCAAATGACTTTTTTCCCCCATATAGCATATAGCAGTTTTTGTAAGCAAGACACTCAATCAGTGGAGAAGGGAAGAAATTCTACATGCAGATAAAAAGGTTATGAGACAAACAAATGTAAATTTTAGCCATGGCATAAGCATAACAATTGATTCTTGGCCAATGAATTATTGAAAATTAATGGACACTCGAGGTGTAAGGCTTCCACAGTTCAACTTGGGAATTGATTACTAATAATTCATCAGCTGGAGACAATTATATAACAGACACAGGGGGTCTGTTTCAATCTTCTCTCTAGTTCAGCGGAAAATATGCACAACTCAAGCATTTCTAGGCCCATTCCAGTACACTCAATCTTTTGCTCCCTAAAAACTCCCAGTATACACCATAAAAACCATTTACTTACCGGGAAAAGATGCCATGTCTTTGCCAGAAATGGATGAGCTGTGCTTTCAACAGCAATAACAAAGGACAACACACAATGACAAAAACAGAATCGCTCATGCTGTGTTATACAGCAATGGTGTCTTTAAACACTACAGCTACATATTAACAAACAACCTCATTAATCATATCACATATGATTGAGATATCAGTGTCAATTTTCAGCGGAAGTCATGTTAACTAGAAGGATTCACAGCATTAAGGAACTACAGAGTGGAGTGTCTTCTACCTACAAGCACAAAATTTGTGTCAAATCACATACAGGACGCTGTGATCTCACAGATAACTGGTTACCAACCATAAAGTTGAAGGATACAAACTCTGGTATAGTGGCAGTCGAGACTTCACAGCCCTGCTGGCATTGATGCATGTGGCCCGCACCAGACTCGGCAACAGCGTTCCAGTCACTATCGCCCCGTCGAACAGAGGCCCAAAGAAAGGAACCTGGTTGAGACAGAGCAAATAATGAAGAAATATTGTTTGTAGTTTCCAATGCAAAATCAATTTACATGAATTCTCAACCCCATGTTGCATGCGATACGTGTACGGGACAGATGAATCTAGTGGATGGATAATGCATCACTTCCATTTGCCAAGGTTTGCGTTTCTCAAGTGGATGAAATGAGAGTTATTGGAGTGGAACAGCAGATAACAGTGACACAGCTGAGGGAATTTCACTAATTGCAGCTGGTGACATGTTGCAGGAACCATACATCTGACAGCATCCAGGCCACTCAAAGCACACAGCAGTCAAGTCTCGTAGAGGTGACGTGTTTGCGAGAAATTACAAATGATGCACGCTCGGTTTCTCTGGGGATCTAGTGGCAGACGCAGGAGGAGATGAAAGGCAGCTTGACCGCGATGAGAGTGGCGTGCCGACAGTGCAGTAATGGACTTCCAGCATTAGTGCTTTCAGAGAACAGACAGGAAGAGATACCATCCAGCCCTTCCAGCCACAATCTACATCTCCTGACAATCAGCGAAACATCGCATATCCTGACGAAGATCTTAAGACGCCTCGGGAGAGGCATTTCACGTAATATATGAAAATCTGGTGAGTTATGGTGGACGACTGTGGTTTTTAATGTAACGTAATGTCATTATCTTCACGTACCTGGGTTTTTTTCAAGATCTGAACAAAGAACATGTGGTTTTTCATGGGGTAGATGATGATGAGGACATCTCCGAAGTCGGTGGGAATGATTCCTCGTCTGTAATCCCGCGTGTGCTCCGACCACACAATGTGCACTTCATCGTTTCCCAAGTGACGAAGCTATGACCAACCAGAGGCAAAAGCATCAATAAATCTGACATGCAAACCAACAAAACACTGTCAACATTAGTCAGAAACATCATGAGGGCAAAAACAATCACAGACAATCGTTTTCACAGTGCATATGTATTGAAAAACTAATTCTTAGAAAGACTGTGGACATCAAAAAATAAGACTCAATCTCGCAAACCTGTACGTTTTCTTCATGATCAACAATAATTCCAGAAAGAAAAGAAAGACTGTACATTTATTTTAGTACATAACAGCTGAAATTATTTTGGGAATTTTCAATCTGAAGTTAAATGAGCTACAGAAATTGGGTTCATTATGTTTCAATCATTTAAACAAATTGACTTTAGCCAGAAAATTGGACAGATCTTCATTTTACATAAAAATATACACATTTGTAGGAAATGCATTTTTCGGAAGTTCATTTTTGGGACCTCAGGAACATGAAATACATGCGCGCCGAGAGTCTGATTAATATGTTGAAGCACCAGCAAATTTTTGCAACAATTTGTTTAATGTTGTACATGAGGAAAACTGTATATCAGAGCAGTGGGCTCAGATATGTGCTACTACTAGCCAACAATCCTGTAAAGGCTTTTATATTCAGACAGGAGACGCTGAAACAATAACCAGTGGAAATTGGTTCTAGTATGAGTCAGTTCTGATTCAGATATCTAGAGAGCAGGGAGCATTCTGGAAATGACAGGCAGAATGACAACGTAAGGTAAGATTAACAGAAAATGCTATAAAACAGTCAGTTCCCTTCAGAGATTCAGATATAAAGTCATTCATGCAAATCTGAGAAGTTTTGTGTGTCATGAATCAGGGGCGTAGCCATCATTTCAGAAGTGTAGACAGAAATGTAATATATATGTATATAACATTACAATATAACATTTCTGTAATATATATATTTATAGCCTACCAGTCAAAAGTTTTTGAACAGTAAGATTTGTAATGTTTTTTAAAGAAGTCTCTTCTGTTCACGAAGCCTGCATTTATTTGATTCAAAGTACAGCAAAAGCAGTAATGCTGTGAAAGATTTTTACTATTTAAAATAACTGTTTTCTATTTGAATATATTTTAAAATGTAATCTATTGCTGTGATCAAAGCTTTCTCACCATTACCAAAATGGTGAGAAATTAAAGTGACCTCTGTAAATCAAAAAAAGAGGAGTCTTGCAAGCATGTCGCTGCGACGGCGTGGCCTTAAGCGAGCTCCTCTCAATGGGTCGTTAAACATCTGCCGATGCACCCATCCCTAATAAGCCATTACCAAAACATGTCCTCTTCACCAAAAATGCAATTACCATATTTCCCCATAAGCCCTTAATTATGCTAATGGCCTAAAATTAAACAAATCCACAACAAGCTGATTGGGTCGGCGCATATCGATCCATTTGGAGAGTCAGCAGAAGAATTAGCGGCATGTAAACAGGTTGGGCGGAGAGAGGAAATACACAACACATTGTACACATACGCAAGATGCCATTCTCAATGAAAGGGAGCAGATGTTAAAGACCGCAGACTTCTAAGAAACCTGAACTTTAGAATAGGCTTAAGTAGAGCGCCTGTGAAGATGTTGTGGGTGGTTGCTATGCATTGCTAAAATGTTCCATGCGGTTGCTAGGTTATTCTGGGTGGTTGGTGGATTTTTCCCACACATGCCAATAGTCTCATCTCTAAAACCTTCTCCAGATATGGCTCAGGTTCTTCCACCAATGAAAGGCTTTGGGATTTTTCTTATGGCAACATGATGCAGGACTTTTTAATTAGAAACAAACCTGAAATACATATATATTAAGAATAGATATTGTTATTTTGAAGTGTCTATGCTTTACTATAGCCAGCTGTTCATTCAATGAGATGAGGGACATAAAATAAAAGAGATAAAAAAAACAAACATTTGCAACATATTAAAATACCAAAAAACCATGAAGTAGATATTGTAACAACCTATCAACAGTAGATCACAAGCAATCGCTTTGGATAACTCTACAGTATTCACTGATTACAAACCGTGAGCCTGCAGAACGTGCAATAGAAATTATACTTTTTTTAAGAAAAAAAGCATATTATTTATTCACATTTTTTTTTTTGGTTAAAGGGATAGTTCACCCAAAAATGAAAATTCTGTCATTAATTACTCACCCTCATGTCGTTCCAAACCTATAAGACCTCCGTTCATCTTCAGAACACAAATTAAAATATTTTTGATGAAATCCAAGAGCTTTCTGACTCTGCATAGACACCAATGGAACTACCACATGCAAGGCCCAGAAAGGTAGTAAGGACATCATTAAAATATTCCATGTGACATCAGTGGTTCACAAAAATACAAAACAAAAAACACTTTGATCAACAATTTCTTCTCTTCCGTGTCAGTCTTTGACGCATCTTTACGAGACTACCACGACACATGCGTGTGCATTCCTCTGCTTGCAAACAAGGTGCAGCGCACCCGGGTTCTACGTCAAAACGCCGGCTCCTGCGTCAGCAGCAACACACGCATGTGTCGTGGTACTGTTGTGAACGCGCGTCACAGACTGACAGAGAAGAAATCGTTGAATAAAGTCACTATTTTTGTTTTCTCTGCACACAAAAGGTATTCTCTTAGCTTAATAAAATTATGGTTGAACCATTGATGTCACATGGCCTATTTTAACAATGTAGTTCCATTGGTGTCTATGGAGGGTCAGAAAGCTCTCAGATTTCATCAAAAATATCTTAATTTGTGTTCCGAAGATGAACGAAGGTCTTATGGGTTTGGAACGACGTAAGGGTGAGTAATTACTGACTGAATTTTAGTTTTGAGGTGAAACGAAAGTCTTTTAAAAAAAGTATTTTTAATGCACCTAAATTATTATCATTAAAAAGTATTTTTAATGACTTAAATGCACCTAACATTGCAATTATTACCTCCTAGCTTGTAAAGACAAACGTCCTAGGAGGACATGAATGCCATCTGAATGTTGGCATGTGGTCGCATTACCACGTTTTCTGTCCCCGAATTTAAGACCTCTAAAATTATCATTTAGAATTTTTTCATTTAAGATGGGACTTTTTACAGCCTTAAATTTGATCAAAATTTAATTAAGATGTGATTGTTTAAGGCTAAGGATTGTCCAATACTTTGAGTATGAGCGATAATTAAAATAGAGTAATTTGCATTAGAAAACACAGAACTATGAGAATATTAAGTCGCCTTTCCACTATCGGGCCGAACGGTTCTAAGAACTGTCAGGTACGGTTCCAGTTGTATTTCCACGAGAGTCTGGAACGGCGTGCGGCACGATTACAAATGGTTCTCGGCCCGGTTAGACAACCGTGCTGAGCCGTGCTGGTAGAGTGCGTGTGCGTGACGTCGCCACTCTGTTGCCTGGCTACCAGTTGCTCCATAACTGGCTAAGCAGAAGTGCGTTATTTGATCAAACAGCCAAATAAACAGCTACACTACGTTCAATATAAAGAAGAAAAAAATTTATTTGCTCTTATTGATATTTGGGCATGCGCATCCCCTCAGCGTTTGTTGGTATACCCGTCGTTGCCTTCTGTTTATTTGATTTTTCACGTCAAGAGTTGTGTCCTTTTTTCTGTTATTTAACAAAGTAAATATCAGCTAAAAAAGGAGTCCCAAAAACAGAAATATGTGATCATCGTCCATATCACTGTTTACATTACACTTGCGTTACCAACTGACGCATTTGTATTACATTCCAAAGAGCTCCGTTATCAGCACCACAGTGGAAAATGAAACCGTATCCGTGCTGACTGGCCCGGATCGGCACAGAATGGAACGGTTAAGCAAAGAGAACCCATGTGTGTACGCTCCTAAAAACAAAGGTTCCAAAAGGAGGTTTTCACAGTGATGCCACAGAAGAACCATTTTAGGATCCCAAAGAACCTTTCAATGAACAGTTCTTGAAAAAACCATGTGTAGAGCATGACATACACATGCACACTGTAAACACACAGACACTGAACAAAGCAAGAAATGCCCTCAAGCCTAAACGCTGCCTTGTAAAGAAGCAGCGTCTTTCCCTCTGCAACAAAAGAGTGTGTGTGTGTGTGTGGTTGGATGACCGGCTGCCTCCTGACACCGTGGCCTCGCATGGCAACACCCTCCCAGTAACTGCATTACTAGCCCAGCCAGCTGCTCTGCTCCGTTCTGCCCCCCAACACTCAATTGGATTCAGGAATTCTACTCTTTTTCTCTCTTTGCTTTCCTTGCTGTCGGCTCTTTTCTCTCACTACCTCTGAAAGTTGCATTTGTAAATTAGAGGAATTACTTCCTGTCTGCCTGTGGCTGATAAAATAGCCCTTTCACCCCTCCCCACATACGTGCCGCCCAACAGTCGCCCTCTCTCGCTGCCAGAGCGGGAGCGCTGCAATTACAGGGCCTGATGGCCAAAATGAATCGAGCACGGCTCGCGGCACACACACTCCCTCCCTACACCGAACGGAGGAAGCGGAGTGTGGCTGAGATGGGCTAATATGAGCTCTGACTGTGAGAGGCTTCAATGTCCGGGAGCCTGATGAATTTTTCTCTCTGCAGGCCTGTGCATGATCGGATTGAGCGCTCAAACTAAGCAGGTTCTGACCGGCTCATTTTGCCAGCGTTAACCTGCTAAAGCGTGTCGTTCGCTGTCCCGCTGACACAGGCGGAATTCGATAGCAGGGCCCTGCTGGTATCCGGCAGGCCTTTGGCCCTTGCGGCGTGAGTTAATGTGCTGATCGGGGCCCCGGTCACAGCGCGCGCAGGAGTCCAGAGAGAGAGAGCTGTTACTAAACCTGCACATGCTCGGCTCCCTCGCTGACGACACGGCCTCACAGCTCTCAGCGGTCTGACAGAGCCGTGCAATCAGGAGCACGCTCCAAAAGTCACGGTCAACACGCGTGCCACTCACCTGCTGTCGAGTCTGTATGACCAACTGCAGTCATTAAATCACCATTTTAAACCAAATAACAGTGTTTCTAAAGGTAAGCAAACATTTGTGTTGCAGTATTCTCATAAAATTTTGGTTTTAGGGACCCCCCCCCCAAAAAAAACACAGGTATATACAGTGGGTACGGAAAGTATTCAGACCCCCTTAAATGTTTCACTCTTTGTTACAGAATTTTTAATGAAGATCCAGACTGCATCAGTAAGAACTTGGTCCTTTGATCACTTAATTTTACCACGGATTCGTTTACAAACAAGGCACAATTCCATGCAGGATTTTCAGACTGAAACTAAAAGACGACGCTGTGCTGACTATGTTGCTTCACACAAGAGTGAGTAACTATTTTCATTATGTGGTCACTATTGCTTTGTCTGTTAAACAGATTGTTTAATATGAGTATTTATGCGTTTTTAACCTAAATCACAGCAACATCCATCTGTGAAGGATGTAGGCTGTCAAACATACACAACTATTAGCCAGTGGACATTTACTTCCGAGTCTACAATCCGCCACGCATATTCAAAAACAGAGCGGTCTGATGAGGGGGGTCAAAACAGGACAGAAAATAGCCCATTACTTCTAAATTCTGATGTTGTTTTGTTGTAAAAAATCTTGATAACATTATAAGTGGACCTCAGAGAACAGTACAAAATAAACAAAGGCAGTTCATGACCCCTTTAAAAATATCGTCCTTAAAATTTGAAAAACTTTGTGTGTGTGTACAATGTTTCTTTTGTGCCCAGAAGTTCTAGTTTTAGAATGGTTTTATGAATAACTTTCGCTTTATATATGGTCTTATATACTATTTATTTGCAGATTTTGCTCACCTGCTTTTAAATAAACATCACATTGGTCATGTTTCTCTGGTGTGACTTTACTTGTCAAGTATTTTCAGTTGACTATTGTGAGTGCTTCAATTCTAAATCTCCATCATACATTTCTTTGTCCAGTTTTACTGGATGAATGTAGCCTTCCATGGCATATTTAAGACCATTTCAGTGACTAGATATTAGGGCTGGGAGACAAGGCCAAGTAAACATATCTAATAATCTCTGTATTTTTTGGCTAAATTGCGATATACAGTATATATCTTACATTCTTTTTATTTGGATTAAAAAAAAATTGTATTTATATAAAAAAAATCTATATATATATATTTTTTTTTAAAGATTGCAAATAAGGGTTAAAATGACATTACATTCTAACATTTTAACATTACAATCTAAAAACAAAAATAATGCTTTTTAAAGCATAAGTTCAGGACAAACTGGATTGTGCACTTTCCCTGCAGCAGCAGCTAACTCAGTGTCCTCCGTTTTTTTGTCAAATGCCCTTGTATCAATCAAACTACTTTATATCAATATAAACAGTATTGCCTTATTCCATATCATTTACTGTATATAAAATATATTGATATATCATACAAGCTCGATATCCTGCCCAGCCTTACTAGATATGATTACTAGATATATAAATGCACTCAATTTTACTGCTTCTCTCTTACTGTGTGACAGTGGCAGAAGAAGGGCTAATAGCAGAAAGCTTTATAGCGATAGCAACAGTAACTAAAAGGGTGGGTTTAACATAAGGTCATTTTAAAACTGACCTTTTTTCTTTCGCATTTCCTCTCTGAATGTAAAGTGACTGGAAAGCCTGCTCTCCTGACAAAGCAGTGGCATTTTGTTCAACTTCTTTAAAAATGATAAATATGACTCATAAACATGACTTTTTAAGACAACTTTTCACCAGTTTCAATCAGTAAACCACCCATCTAAAACCAGACATTTTTGTTTAATGTGTATAGCTCTTGTCAAGCAGGAAATGAGGTGCTTGAAACTACCTTTTTGGTGATGGAGTCATCTGAGTCAGAAGGCATGCGAGTCGACACATGGAAGATGACCTCCACGTTGGAGGTAGCGTAATATGGTGCCGTGCTACCTGTGCTGCCGTTTCTCTGCAAACCACCCATAAACCCACAGTGAGTGGCCAGATTCACCTGAAAGAGAGTGAGAAACTTCCTGATGCTCTGATAGTCCCAGAACATGACATCTGCTCACTACAGACTCATTAAGTGGATTTGATGTGTTATTTCACCTCCCATCCCAGCCCAGAGACAAAGTCCTCATAGGCCTGACTGCCCTCTGTGTTGGACAGAATGGAGTATTTGTCCTCCTGGCCTTCTCCAATGTAGAACACGGCAATCTTGTGCGTCTCTCGACTGGAAGCAAAAACACACAAGAAGAACTGACCTCATGCTAAACATCAAGACATTTGAGGTATCACCATATTTGATGTGGTATGTGTATGTAATCAAAACAGAGATCTAATCTCAAAGTCGAAATGGGATGCATCTGAGAAAAATTTGAAATGCCATAGCAAAAGGGTCTGAATACTGATGCCATGTAATAGTTACGTTTTTTTCTTTTGAATGAATTTGCTAAATTTTCACAAATTTGGTTTTGCTTTGTCATTACGGGGTATGGAGTTTAGATCAGTGTTATTTTAGTATAATTGAAATACTATTAGTATACTGAGATACTACATAAGCATTTCAATCATGACAACTCTCGGAACATTTTAGCATGGTGATGGATATGACAATGTTAATGTATTTGGTCTTGGCGGAACAGATCTGCTACGTTGCTGCTGCTGTTGGTTACTGCTGTAGTTGTAGATTATTGCTGCTGCTGCAAGCAAGTACAGGAACTTGCTACTGCCAATGCATATGGCAATACAGTGCTGTGAGTATTTAAGCCGTGCTGCTGCTGCACAAATAGCAGATCTATACAGGTGGAGCTGGGGAAGGTGGAGGATTTCAGAGAAACTCTGAAAGCGCGTGGCAGGAATCTCAAGTGAATACTAGCCAGCCAAATAAATGCAAGGAAGTAAGCTCATTGGCTGCATATGCAGCATGAACCAATCAGCTTGTGCCAAGTCGTTTAACTCTCTGAATATCATCAGTTACGTTAACACCCCGTCAGAATGCGCCATCTAGAGTTTCATGACTGAACTATATATATTTTTGTTAATATCTTGAATGTTTTATTTTTTCATTTAAAAAAATTAAATAAATAAAAAATCACTTTTAATAATTTTTTTGCAATTTTCTTAGATTTTTAAAAAATACGTCTTTATAGTTTTTTTGTTTTAGTTATTTACATTTAATTATTTTTTATAAAAAAAATTCACATTGTTGCATATATAAATACAATATATTTGCTTCATATTTTCAACTCTAAAATGTGTAAACAAATTGAGAAACGTAAAAAGAGTCTAAATTATCTTGATTTCTGGGTGTCCCCCTTTTTGTTAAAAGACATAGTGGTACGAGAGTTAAGCACAAAATATGGAACAGAGTTAAATATGATGTTTTGGTTAGTTAATAATTAATAACAAATACTTTTAACCCTCAGCTAATAATCCTCTCTCTAAAGAACAGTTGTGATTTCTTTAAAACATGTAGTTAAGTAATAGGATGACCTCTGTTGTGCTCATGAAATCATATTTAATTACATGGCGAAGGGCGAGGTGCTATCAGACTACATAGTGTATAAGTGCATAGCGCGTCATTTGGGATGCAGTTATTGTTTTGTCATCAAAACACGCTTTATTAAATTACTTTTTGCAATAAAAAAAAATGGTATAACTTCAAAGCTATTTGCTAATAAATCAAATCAAGGTATGCAGTGTGTATGTGTAAGGTGTGTGTGTCTCTTTGAGCAGTGTTGCTAAAGAAGCGTAATTCTCGTGCAGTGTGAAGTTTGGCATGCTCAGTCAGCGGTTGCCATGAGTGGGCCGGATATGCATGCGGAGGGTAACGGTGGCCTGATCCTGGGGGTATTCTTTAATAAGCCTCTGTAATTAGCCACTCTGAGCGCCTATTGATCGCTGTTGGCTGAGAAGTGTGGAGCTGTGATCAGCCAGACATGGGCAGGATTAGGCCATGAGGAGCGGAGTATCTGAGAGTGGTCTTAAGACATGTCTCCTTAATAGTGCTTTTAAAGGATTTAGCCTCTCTCTGTAGACTGGCATTAGGCTGCATGACTGAGCTCTCCAAATGCATGCTGTTGTTTGCTGCTGATTTTTAGTGTTAAGTGCCGAGGAGTCAGACAGAAGGTTACGAATATGTTTTCATGTTGCTAATTTACTTGGTGTGTGATTATGTGTATGAAACTTCAAGGCACGGGCATCAGATGTTGTGGTCTTCTGAAACGAGTCTCACCACTGCCTCGAGTCTAAATTCTTCAGCTCTCTCAAGAGCTTAGAGTTCTTCTTTAGAAGATGAAAGCTTTTTCTATGAAGAGAAATAGAAATGGAACACTCATGAAAACCAGAAAAAACTTTCCAAAAGAGAAATGCTGAGACACAGGCAAAATCCCTCATTTTGTACATTTTTTTTTTTACTAATGTTAAAATATTTTCTTCTATTTCAGGTTCAACCAAAGTATAACCAAGTACTGTAAGCAATCTGTAGGCTTACTTCTCTGAAGATCGTAAACACTGACACCACAGCATTATAACACTGCGCGTGATTAAAAATTTAAATTCCATAAAAAAATAAACAAACAAAAAATATGTAGAACCCATGCAATTATATTTAAACATTTTGTGGCATGTTCATATATTCTGATTTGCAAAGAGGCCCTCAAGTAAAAAAGGGAAAATGTGTGTAACGTCCAAGCTGCTCTTTTCCATTCAGAACAAAAAAAGGCACCACAAAAATAGATTTATGGAAAGCATATTATTTAACCATTGCTTGAACTGTCAGAGCTCTTCCTCTCTCAAACATAACTATAGTAATTTAAGTATATCATCCAAAAATCATTAAAAAAATTTACACAAACATGCAACTTTAATGTGAATAATGTAAAAACAAGGATCAGTGGAGACAGGCCCATTCTGTAAATGGAAAATTTCTGACAAAAATCACTTGATAGGTTCAACAAGCAAATCATGTCAGGACATAACATGATTTTATCTTAATCTTTGTCTTAATTCATTGTTTAATTTAATGAAACACACTTTTATTATGTGGAAAGACAACAATGGCAAAAACAAAAGATGTGGGATTTTAGAAATTGTCCACTTGTCCTCAAGCTTAGCCCTATCAAAGAGAAGGAAATCAACCTGTTTAACAATTATAAATACTTGAGAGACTGTTGTTCGTGATTATTTACATATTAAAGGAACACAGACATTATTTGTTTGGCTCAAAATTGATCTACAGAAGATGTTTGTAGAAAAACTAGGTTTTATAGAGTTTTCTTGATTTTTTTGAGTCGTTGTAATAAAAAAAAAAAGTCAAACTATCAGATGAAACAAGCAGAGGTAGTATCTATCTACAAGAAGAAATGTTTCTGGAGCAGAAATTCAGAATTATTAGAATTATTTGTAATATAGTAAGTAAAAGCTGCTGAAATTTCAGCTTGAGGAATACATTATTTCTACTATTTTTACTATACTTTTGTTTTAAATATTCAAATAGAAAACAGTTATTTGGTATTGTAATACTATTTCACAATACTGCCATTTTTTACTGTACTGTATCACTACACTGTACTTTTACTGTTGTACTATCATGATTAAATAAATGCAGCCTTTCAATATGTATATTAGTAGCTATGTGACTGTGATTGTAGTCTTGTTAAAATCAAAATGCATGATTTACCTATTTATGTTACCTTTCTATAAAACAAAATTTCAGATATTCACAGAAAGTCTTCTTCTCCACCATAGCTCTCAAATCTCATTCACACACATTCACATTTTGCTTTAGGAATGGTCTCAAGTCTCGTAAGAACCAATGTGTAATGATGTGGAAAAGAGCAGCTTTGCAATTGGGTGACTGCATTTTCATCTTGGGATGTGCTATTCATTTAAGAATGTTTTCCAGTAATTTTCATGAAATACTGTACCTGCGATCCCATGAGTTCATGCCGAGGTCGTTGAGGAGAAGTCTGCAGAGGTAAAAAGCAGATTTAGGCTCGTGGTGCGTGGGCTCTCTCTGTCTCTCTGCTCTGATGCTGGGGTCTTCGGTCTGTAGCCGGGCCAGCTCCTCGTCCTCCTGCTTGGCCTGTCTGTGGATGGCATCCATGATGAGCCCTTCCATCTCAGGGTTCATGCCGATGGGTGGAGAGGGCGGCTGGGTGAGCCTCAGCTGGGGCTGCGGCAGGCACTCGGGGCTGCTGTGGCCAAGGTCTTCCAGAAGCTGGTCCAACACATCCACGCCATCTTCCACTTCCAGCTCAGAGGAGCATTTACTGGAGCGCATGGAGCCCTGCTTTTCAGAGCGAGCGCCGTCGTGAGACGACTGATCTCTGCTGCCACCCAAACTCAAGCCAGTTCCGTCCAAAGTGCGGAACAGAACACCGCCGTCCCACGAGTACTTTCCCGAGATGTCCCTGATGATGACGCGGACCTCAGAAGAATGATCCCTCGGGTTGGCCGTGCTGGAACTGTCAGAGGGGATCTGCAGGTATGAGACTAGTGTGCTGTCACTGAAGACGAAGAGCTGCAGATTGGGGCTTTTGAAGACTTCAGAGGAGAGCTCGGAGGACTCTACGTAGGGGTTGTCGTGGTTCTCACTGACCAGGCTGTTTAAGAGAGCGGGGCCGCCACTGAGAGGATGGTGGCCCAAATGATTGACCAGGTGTGTCATTACCATCCGAGCAGTCAGAGGAATCAGCTCTAGGCTTCTCCTTTTCTTTTCTGGGATACGAAACAACACAAGTTCAGTCAATTAGAAAACATACAGCTTGCAGGTATACACAAAGGATTAGTTCACCCAAAAATCACAATTCCAGGGGTTAAAGCCGGGAGTGGGGCGGGGGGCAGCATGCATGACTGTGGCAACTTTGGGGGAAGTCGTGGCCTAATGGTTAGAGAGTCGGACTCGTAACCCAAAGGTTGTGGGGTTTGAGTCTCGTACCGGCAGGGATTGTAGGTGGGGGGAGTGAATGTACAGGCAACGAAACCCCAACTGCTCCCCGGGCACCGCAGCAGAAAAAAAAAATTTGTCTGCCCACTGCTCCGGGTGTGTGTGTGTGTTCACTGCAGTGTGTGTGCACTTTGGATGGGATAAATGCAGAGCACTAATTCCGAGTATGGGTCACCATACTTGGCCACGTCACTTCACTTAAACATTTGAAAGGATACGATGTTCTAGGATACTATGGCAAAGTTATTGCTTTCCTTATTCAAACCGATTTTTTTTTAATTAATATATAGTTGAGCTGAAGAATGAAAGCTATATCATACACTTGGAAAATGATGAGCTATATCACCGCTTATCGACACTAGGGGTGTGACAATAAACTTAGCTCACGATATGAGACAAGATACAGAAACTTGGTTCACTACAACAAGAAATTAAGAAATTTTCAATGACAAAATATATGTCTTTTAATAACAAAAAGTAAAACAATGCAGTTGTATTTTGAAATATTTTAAGTAATCTAGGGCTGTAAATAATGATTATTTTGGTAATTGAGTAATCTGATATTCTTTAGTAACACAAATAGACCTAAGTGAAAACCAGGAGTTGGACTATTTATATATGAACTAACGGATGCAATAATAATGGGCTCAAATAAAATATCAAAACCAAGTAATTACATGGTTTTATTGAACAACACTGTTCAAATACATAATGTAATATGCCAATGCATAATATGAACACAACCAACTTAAGTACGTTATGTATTATAACAAATACCTGCAAAGGGCGCCAACAGCCTGGTGACGTTTCACTTTACAGCGTGATTAAACGATGTTTAAATCCATTAAATTTTAATATTTGGCCACATGCAAACTCAGAAACTTTTATTTTGAAATTGCGATGTACAATAAATGGCATATTTAGAAATAGATTGATGTATTCTCCTGAGTTGGCAAAGGTTTATAAATGATTTACGTTACAAATCTAGTGAGATAATGCACACACAATTCAAATTAAATTACCATTAAGAGACCTTTTCAAAAATCCCAGTAAATTTGTTCTGGGAATCATATCGTTCTTATGGAGATGACATGAATACTCTAAACGCGGTTTTCAAAGCTCCATTCATCAGGGCTGCGTCTCTGCAATTGGATACTATAGGTGCGTTCACGCCATATCGGAATTCCCGTAATTACAATATTCCAACTTGTAAAAAGCTCCGTGAACAGCTCCGAGAGGAACGTCACGTGTTGTCATCTCAAAATTACGGTAATTACGATAAGGCGTGAACACAGTATATTATGCGTGTCTCGTGTTTATAAGAGCAAAACATTCTGATTGGCTAGTAATGTTAGTTTGGTTGAGAGTGAAAGCTGTGCTCCTCTCATACCATTGGTAGGCAAACTCAATGACTCGAAAGGGATATCAACAAGTTTTTTTAAATGTAGGATTATTTTTATTTCCGCAGCCAAACGCTGCACGCCGGAGATCCGGTGTAGTGCCGAATTCAGACCCCCGCCAGATTATTACGCCCCTAGTATTGGTAGGTTTAGGGTTAGGATTAGGGGTGGGGTTATGATTAGGCAATCAGGTAGCGATTTCAATGAGGGGGGTAATAATTTGGCAGGGAGTCGAAAATGGGCACAACACCGGCATGGTGCCGGAGAACTTTAAACCCTGCAATTCTGTCATCAATTTATTTAATCTCTTTATTTATTTTAAAAGGGACAAAGTACAGAAATTAACATTCAAATAAACACAAATGTATCCGAGAAATGTAGCGTAAAAAACAAAACAAAAATTAGAGAAAGAGAGAGAGTGAATAAGGGTACAATACAGAAAACAACCCATGCAGCTCAATTAAATACAAATACGCAGCACATAATACACAAATATAATAAAAGTTTCATATTAATATAGTCTTGTTATGGATGTAGAAAACAACTGAGTATAAAGAAGCCAATTCCTTAAATTCTATTTAAATGAGTAATAGGATGTACATTCTGTATGTATAACTACTCTCATGTCATTACAAATCAGACATTGGTTCATCTTCAAAACACAAATGCATATCTGTGAAGGAGTGATGGATTTATGGAGTTCCTCCATTAAAAGTTCATGTAGCCAAAACTTTGATGGTTTACAAAAGTCAAACATTGTACTGTAAACATAATCCATTTGAATGGAAGAGTTTAATCTAAGCCTTCTGAAGAGACACAATAGTTTTATATGAAAAACATAGGCTTTTATTCACATATAAACACTGATCGATGCACATACATACAACACATGAAATTTGGTAAACAGAAGCTCAACCATACTTGGATAGGTAGTGGGATATTGCTTATGAGTTGCTCTTTGGCTGAGGCTGTTTTTTTTTGTGTTTTTTTTCGAACACAGAGATATAAAAGGCTTGTCAATGGATGGAGATGTTTGCGTTGCAAAAGCCAGCATTCTTTTTCTTCCTCTACTCCATTGATATAAATGTACTGTCATAAAAAGCATCCCTGTTGAAAGAGGAAAGAACAACCCCCCACAGTCCACAGCCCAACCCCACCAAAAACAGGTGACATCTGATGACATGCCAAGGTAGAAAACACACAAGAAATATTGCCTAATGGATAAAGCAAGGTTGGAGAAGGAAAAAATGATTTCTTTAATAATTGGCATAAATGGGCTTGCTTTGAGTGGATGAGGGAACTAATGCACACCTCTTTAAATTTCTATTTCATTTCACATTGTTTTTTTTTCGAACACAGAGATATAAAAGGCTTGTCAATGGATGGAGATGTTTGCGTTGCAAAAGCCAGCATTCTTTTTCTTCCTCTACTCCATAGATATAAATGTACTGTCATAAAAAGCATCCCTGTTGAAAGAGGAAAGAACAACCCCCCACAGCCCACAGCCCAACCCCACCAAAAACAGGTGACATCTGATGACATGCCAAGGTAGAAAACACACAAGAAATATTGCCTAATGGATAAAGCAAGGTTGGAGAAGGAAAAAATGATTTCTTTAATAATTGGCATAAATGGGCTTGCTTTGAGTGGATGAGGGAACTAATGCACACCTCTTTAAATTTCTATTTCATTTCACATTGTGCTACATTTGCTCTAATATGATTCATGAGAGCTCAGGATAAACTCACAGGACAAAATAAAAATGTTCCTTTTTTTCTTTTCAAGGGAGATGCAGCAGTTCCACAATTATTGCAGAAAAATTTGGCACAGTAAATTTAGTCAAACTTGCCCTTATATTATAGACATTAAAGAGTGATTTATGTTGATGTCAAGCAAAAATTCTTACATTTAATGAGGTTTCATGACAAAAATAAAAATGAAATAAAAATGAATACTTAAGGTTATGAAATATAGATAAACTCACTATATATATAAATACATATTTGGAACCATTAGTATTAGTATTTTACAAATCAACTTAAAAAAGGCAATAAATACATAAATAAATAACATAATTTAAACTACCCCCCCTCCCCCCAAAATTGACGGGAGAAGGGTTAAAAGTGCAAAATGATGCAAATATTGTTAATGGTCTTAAAAACAGGCCCTTTATGTTTTCTTTTGATTTTGGGGTGAAATATGACCTGGGACAGTTCATGACAGATTAGTCATGACATTTCCCTAGGCACGCTGTAGACAACAACATAGCACAATTGCAGTAAGATTAATTTCAGTCTTTATGTTACTCCTAAAAACAGAAAACAACAAGTCCTTACCTTCAGCCACTGTGAGGAGATTTCCAAAGTCTCCCATAACATTGTGGATGGGTGGTGGTTCAAAGCTCTTGACATTGCCTAAAGTAAGGAAGGGTTCATAGTCTGTCGACAGATCAGCAAGGCTGAGGAGGTAGTGGCTCTGTTGAGTGTGCAGGTTAGACCCTGATACACAAGTGTGCAGCACCTAAGACAGCAGAACAGTGAATTAAGTACACCGGTAATACACTACAAAAAGAATGACTAAAGAAAAAAAAAAGATTTTTGGGCCTAATACAGAACCCTGGGGGACACCTTTGGAAAAAAGGGAGATCATTTATTTAATAATGAGCTGCATTCTTTGTTGTTCTAGACTGAATTACAAATACAAAATGTAATGCATAAGATACTAATGGCATTGTTTAGATGTTAATGCATTTTGAAAGCCTAATGAGAATGCGTCAAATAGCGAGCGCTGTTAGGATCAACAACTCACAAATTACTTCAGCCATGAAGACGCTCTTCTTGGCACTCCACTGAGATGCATTAAAAATAAATCTGTAATAGATTGAAACATTGTTGCTACACCCAGATGGAGTGGTTGAGCGCTACAGGGCCGCCATATGGAGATGGGACGATATTTACAATGCTAAGCCAGGAAACCCAGCGAGAGGGGCTTTATGGGCTAATAATCTATTTCTCCAGTGATATGGGAGTGTATCGATGTGCAAAAACAGATGGCCATGGCTCTATTGGCTGGAGAAGATAAGACACAGTCCAGCACAGTTTATCATAGTGCCTGAACAGGTTTACTCTGTTTGATTTAATTAAGGCTTTATCCCTTGGCTCATTCTCGAACACCGCACACTCACGCAGCAAACAACCACCCTGTAAGCTACATAAACACCATCAGATATAAATTCATGTTGTAAAAATACCTAAAAATAAAACCACAGAACTTTAATTTTGCCATATAATCACCACCATAGAGCCATTAGTGCCATCTGGCTCGAATGGAAACTGCTGATAAATCAGAGGTACAGGTCATTCAAAGGTGTGATGGATCATCTCTCAATGTAAATCAGTAACAGACCATCTTACAATGGACTTCAGTCAGGCCATATTTACTTGAGCCATAAACTGACTGCTTTACCTCTTAGGAAACAAACTGGCACAATATAAAGCAGTCATATTGTGACAAGAAGAGAGAAAAACAAAACAAATTCAGGAAAATTCATCACTTTACTTAAGCGTTAAACCACATTTGCCGGCTCTAAAGATTCAGAGCGATTTTCATTAGTCTATAAATGTAGTAAGTGGCACTTCTCAAACTGTGCTGCAAAAATTAACCAAGACTCCATAACATTAAAGAACAGTCATTACCAATTATTATTTGAGTAGTACTATAGGTTTGAGATGCTAATCATTATTTCTTGCATTTAACTGAGACACGTCACTCGAATGTACGAGTACTGGTGTGCTGTCTTGGCGAGGGTTACATAAATGTGCTCGTATTAGACGCTATTCAGCTCTGACAAATGTGAGATTAAAGTAATCCCACTGAGCATATAATAACTAGCGGAAAATGATTAACAGTCAAATGAGTGCAGAGGAAAACAAAGGACATTTATTCTTCCCTTTGCCCCTTTGCAGCAGGTGCATTTTCTCTCATATGATGATGAACTGAATTCTTGAGTTCAGCATTCATTGGTGAGCTTATCAATCCAACAATGGGACATTTAAATAATTTGCTATTGTGCTTTATAATATACACTACTGTTTAAAAATGTAAAATTTTTTATAAATTTTTTTTAACAAAAATGTCAGTAATTTGTCACGTCAATACATTTATAATGTAACAAAAGCTTTCTATTTCAAATAAATGCTGTTCCCTTTCAGTCGGTCACTCTCGACGTCACGTTGGTGACCGATGAATTGGGGGATCTCACTTATGGCGCTTTTCCACTGCATGGTACGGCACGGTATGGTTCACTTTTGGGGGGTTTTCCACTGGGTACAGTACCTGGTACTTTTTTTAGTACCACCTCGGTTGAGGTTCTAAGTGAACCATACTGTTACCAAATCGTGACGTGTAAACTCTGCTGATCCCGGATTGGCCGGAGAGAATCGTCACTACCTGTGTCACTGAACTTGTGACACAAACACAACAGAACCGCTAGATTTAAATCAGCACAGCCAGCGAAGGATCGAACGCAACCGTTTTTAACGAGCACAAAAAGTGGTTGTTTCGTGGTCTGTTGAGGAAGTACAGACGTTCCTCTCATTGATAGCAGAGGAGCGGATCCAGCGAGAGCTTGATGGGGTGACGTGGAATGAAAAAGTTTTTCATGAGTCACGGCAGTAGAGGCTGCGCAACTAACGACATGTGAATAATCCCGTCCACTCTAATGCGATACTAAACTGCAGTGGAAACGCAAACCGAGCCGAGCCTTGCTGTACTGAGCCGTGCCGAGCCGAGTCATACCACGTAGTGGAAAAGCGCCATTAGAGAGCAATCTACTTCAAGTGTAAACTAAACAAGCCAATGGACATTGGCATGCGATGATTGCATCCAGCTGCCACTGATCACAGCGTGAGCATAAAAAGGCAGCAGGTGCAATGCATACCAGCTTTTCGCTTCGGAGCCGAGCAATCACATAATTTTGCTCCTGACTACTCTACACAGAGAAGAAGGCTGAACGAGTTCAGCGAGCTCTTTGAGAGCTCTTCATGTTGGTGGTACGGCGTTTCAATGGTGGTGGTTTCCCGTGCCGAGTGGGTTGCACACATCAGGCTGCACATGTTGGTGGTACGGCGCTTCAATGGTGGTGGTTTCCCGTGTCGAGTGGGTTGCACACATCAGGCTGCACTACCCCGTTTGTGTTGCAGGCGGCCATCTTCCCTGTGCGCTTCAGCACGCTAAGAGCTTTTTCCCTAAAAGAGCATTCACAAGTGCGTCTTTTTAAAGACGACGTTGCATCTGGCACACTCAACGTTACGTCTTTGTAAAGATGATGTGGGTTTTGCTACAGACAACGTATAACCCGGGCGTTTCTGGATGCGGTCATTACCTGGTGCTGGGTGATGGTCACGATCGCTGCCTCATGTGCCTGGGCATTTAGCATGCTGAGGTGGCGTTTGTGGATGAGTCATGTTCTCATTGCGGGAAGATGACCATCTCGGAGTAGCGGGCCAAGCTCTGTTACCTCAAAGGGGCAGAGCTTCGTTGCCTCTGCCTCGATCTAGTTCTCGTCATGGCAGCAGTCAGGTGAGGGCTACTTCAGGCAGTAGCACGGGCGGTCTGAGGGAACAGTGGTGGCAAACCCTCCAGGGAACCAACCCTCGGGGGACCATCGCTCCTCTTGCACTCTGCAACCAGTTGAGCTGCCAATGGAACATGCTGGGCCCTCTACAAGGAGTGTACCAGCAGTATCCTTTGGCACTCCTTCCCACGAACGGATGTCGATTGCTGCATTGGAGGGTGAGCCGGAGCATTCTGGAGAGGAAGATTCGGCTGCGCTGCTGCCTCCAGAACTATAGCAATGCCTGAATCAGATCCGGAAATAACGGTTATGCTGTCCCAGGCCGCCGTGAGGGTAGGGCTTGAGTGGAAAATTCCACCCGGCAGGGCAAATTGTGCCTCCCCTCCCGGGTCTGTAGGTACTCATCTGGTTTGTCCGGTGATGCTTATGTGGAGAAGCTGCCTCTGAGCGACGAAGGTCACCGCAAGTCCTCTGGGTCATGTGATCAGAATCAGAATCAGAATCAGAATCAGAATGAGCTTTATTGCCAGGTATGTTTACACATACGAGGAATTTGTTTTCGTGACAGAAGCTTCCACAGTGTAACAGAATGACAGTGACAGAACAAAAAACACAGATAATAAAATAAAAATAGAACAAGTAGATAAGGAATAAAAACATATAATTGACAATTGTGTGTGCAGGTATATTACAAGGTATATATATATATATATATATTTTTTTTTTAAACAAAAAAACCTTGCTACGTATACTGTTAGGTGAAGCCCCGCCCACGAAGCCCGCCAATCCATAATTTTTTGGGGGAATTTTTATTTATTTATTTTTAAAAAGTATCGGTTAAGGCACCATTTAGGCACCGGTATCGAATTTTAAAAGTATCGATTTGGCACCGGTATCGAAAAAAAACAAAAAACGATACCCAAGCCTACTCATAATTCAGCTTTACCATCAC